AGGAATCAGTTGTAAATTTTCTCACTGTCAACTCCTGAACTAACCCTTTTGCTAAAATATCAACCTGCAAGTATTCACAGCAACATAATTCCTTCTCTTTCATTTACAGTTTTGATGTGGATAATGGCACATCTGCGGGACGGAGTCCCTTGGATCCCATGACCAGTCCAGGATCTGGGCTGATTCTTCAAGCGAATTTCGTACACAGTCAACGCCGGGAATCCTTCCTGTATCGGTCTGACAGTGATTATGACCTGTCTCCAAAGTCTATGTCCAGGAACTCCTCCATCGCCAGTGATATGTAAGTACAAGTGTGGACAAAGAGAAGAGGGAGGACCTGTAGAAGTCAAGTATATTTAGCTCTAGACTTGGTGATGTAAAAAATGAATAATTTTCATTTATCAGCATCGCTTTCCTCTAATACAGAAAGAATAAAGTTATACAAGCCAGAAATGAATGGTAGATTTATCTTGAATGCACTGTTGCTCATAATTAAATATTTCCTTTGCTAGAAAATGCATTGTCTAGAATAAGAAAGAATTAAATTTTCAGTAGGAAGCCAGCAGGTGGCATAGTGATTATAGTGCTAGACTCCCATAGAGCCAACCGCAGTTCAAGTCCCAGACCCGCAGCTTGAAACTCAGTCAGGCACGTGTACATGCATGCCCAAAATTCCAAGAGGACATAGAGGAGAAGGGATTGTGGCATGGCCATCCACCCAGGCGTGATTTCTTGCTTTCTATCTCTCTGTCTCTCTGTCTCTCCAGTGAGCACAAATGCCCTATAGCAAAAATCTCTCAAAGTTACATAAATACAATGGATTTTTAGTAGGAATTTCCACTTAAAACAGTTTATATTCATATAGAAATTAAGTTTTTGCTACCTAGATACATGAATATTTTCTAATATTTCAAAAAGCCATAAATTCAGCTTAAAATCCCTTTGATATTCAAGTAGATAGCATTTTGAATATTTCTCAATTCATGTGTATACAGATATTAGCACTGGCGTGCCAGATCATGTGAGAGATCTTTGTAAGGTTTTGCCCAAATTAAACCAATTTTAAAATACGAATTTCTGGAGGCAAGCACAGAACATATTAGACAGACTTGAATATCATTTATGACATGGCACAGCTTGGAGAATAATTAAAACTGACAAACAAGTTTGCTGTTTACAAACCATCATTAGCTCATTTTCTTAGCACATTCTATTAGTGTGTTTGCTATAGTGTTCAGGCTGTTTCTGTATTCACCGGGCTTTCAAACAGGTCCTTATTCTCATTGAATACATGTACTCTTGTGGTGGTCACTGCATCTGCACAGAATTGATCTCCAACCTCCTCTGGATCTAGTAATACTCACCACCTCCTTATGACAACATCTCAAAAATTCACAACCTAAGTTGAAATTCACCTTGAAGGAATTAGGCCTTGTGGAGCCCCTGAGGGTTGAGTTTTATTCTTGGTATCTAACATATCATGAAGGTATCACAATAGGTGTAAATAGAGCTCTAGAAATGAAGTTGTGCCACACTCATTTTTACAACTTATACTTCTTGGTTGCTAGTTTAGTAACAGTTATATTAATTTAGTCTACTCTTTGTCATCCCTAAACAAGACCTTTTTCTCACTGGCCCCATTTCTGTTATTCGTATTATGCTTTCGTAAGTTTGACATTCAAGTCATTTATTTATTCATTTGCACATAGTGAAAACATTTCTTGAGCAAATATAGTGTATTAAAACTTTCTAGTCTATGGGGTAGTACAAGTCTGGTATTTTAGATAGAACATTTTGGTAAAATATAATGTGCACCATTTTTGAGGTATTTACAGACAACCATAGGAGCATAGAGCAAAGAAGATTTCACCCAAGGGAAGGGGGGCATAAAATAACAGGCTAAGAGAACATTTGCAAAATGTGAAGCATGGCAAATCATGGGTCAATTAAGAACCAACAGTCTGCTTGGCATGAACAGAGAAATGTGGCAGGAGAGAAAGAACATTCAAATACAGTTTATGGGACCTGGGGACCCATAATTGTAGTTTGGCATGATCATGTCTTGATTCTGCTGCATTCTAATTACTCTGCTGTTGAATAGTTGCATACTTAAGGGACTACAGAGAAGTGGTGTATGTCAAAATTAATAGGAATAAAGCAGGCAAATAAGATGAAGTTCTAGTATCAGGAAATGACAGTAGAACAAAGCCAGATGCTAGATGTAAGATGTTTCCAGAAAGTTGTGTACATATATACATTTGTCTCTGTGTGTGTATGTGTGTGTTGAAGAACAGCCAGTGGGAAAGAAGAATAGAGAATGCTGATGTTTTCACCCAAAACAAGTAAAGAAATGGTGACAATGACATGAGGAACAAAGGACAGAAAATGGACAACGTACTGGCAGATAATAAGTAAATTTGCTTTTACGTGATGAGAACAGCAGAAAAAAGACAATAGTTAAAGGACGGAGAGCAGAAATAATAGTTCAGAAAACCAGGAGAAATGAAAAGAACCAATTACTTCCATAATTACCACATCTTTGTATGACAGTTGAGAGAAGAGTCTTGGGTCAGTTTATAAAGTTGAAAATCCATTGGGAAGAAGAGTGAATTGAAAGTGGACATATGAGCAAGTGCAGGCATCTTTTTAGGAAGTCAATGAGTAAAGAAAAAGAGAACTAAGGCTGCTTGAGGGAGAATTAAGTTCAAGAGGAAAATTACTTGAATTCTGAACACTTGAACTAAGGGAAGGCTCCAGAAGATAGAGACTGAAAATTCAAGGAATGCAAAAAGAGGAAAAGAAATGGGGGTTAAAGATGGAACTATAGTTGTTGGCAAAATATGATCATGATTTTAACTAAAGAGACAATCCTTGGAAAAGTAATAAAGCCTATTAATCTATTCTCTGTTAAAAAGCCTATTAATCTATTCTCTGTTAAAAATACAGAAGAAAGAACTACTACAAAAAGCAAATACAAATACAGAGTTGAAGAGGTAAAATGTTTAGAGAATTCATGGCTAATAATTTCTCCTTTTTCATTAAGTATCAATAACCAAAGATAAAATGATAGAACATCTTGAGAAGAAGGGGAAGGGTTTAAAACAGCCACAGTGCAAATCAAAAAAGAGAAAATAGAGTTGAGAAGAACAGCCCCATAGATAATAATTTCTAATGTTGAATAGATGAATGACCAAGTTGAAGTCATCTAGTCCAATTTCATAAAAGGTAAGACAACTCTGGTTTACATAGAGACCAGAGGAAGACTCAGGGGAAGGTAGTGGACGCTTTTTATATAGTTATGTGTTGTATTTTTATTTATTTATTTATTTAGGGGGGAGGAGTTTCTGCTATAGGGTGTGTGCACTCGCTGGAAAGAGAGAGACAGAGAGACAGAAAGTGAGAAATCACCCCCCAAGGGGGATGGCCATGCCACAGTCCCTTCTTCTCCATTCTCCTCTAGGGATCGTGAGTTTAAGCCATCTGGTTCTGGGACTCAAACTGAGCTTGACTACATGGGAAGTCCAGCAATGTAGCCATTATGTCATCTGCTTTTCCCTGTGTTCTATTTCTGAAGCTTTAATAATTTGAGTTTTGGATTCTGTGTGTAGATTTTTTTCATGTCATCTACTTAAATTAGTAAAGATTAAATATAAATATGCCTTTTATAAAAAAAAACTTACAGTACTTCATATCTACAGTGCTTTTATTTCTAAAGAAAAGTTATAAGGATGACCTTATTTTGTTCTGTACCAATTCAAAACCTTCTTTATCTGATTGAACTCACGAAAGAATAACAAATGTAATCAGATTATGATGCAACTTCATATATTGTTGAAAACCAACACATTGACATGTTCAACCTTTCCATTCCCCCAAGATATTTACTTTGGAGCAATAAGGTTTTCTTTTGACATAAACATATTCCTGGAAAGCATTCTTTTTAACAGGGACATAAAGTTTCAGGGAGAAGAAATGTAAATAGAATAAATAATAACATAATAGTATCCAATTTTTTTCTTTCTCTCTCTCTCTCTCTCTCTCACTCATATATATATATATATATATATATCACATAAAGAATTATACATTGTTTTAATTTTACTTTTTATATGGCCATGTGTAAATCTCAGTTTTCTTTTTCTTTTTTTTTTTGGAGAGGTTTTTACTGTAGGGCGGTGCACTCACCAGACAGACTGAGACAGAGAGACAGAAAGCGAGAAATCACCCCCCAGGGGGGATGACCACGCCGCAATCCCTTCTCCTCCATTCTCCTCTTGGGATCTTGGGTACGCATGCACACGCACCTGGCATGAGTTTCAAGCCACCGGGTCCGGGACTTGAACCGTGGTCGACTACGTGGGAGTCGAGACATAGCCATTACACTAACTGCTGGTCCCAATCTCAGTTTTCTTACCTGTTCACAATAATACTATGAAGATTGTCTAATCTCTATAATATGACTGTGTTTTATAGAGAATGATATTTTAGTATATTTTAATCACTTGATGATTTTGTAGTTATTGTTCGTGTTAAGCTTTCTTACTGAGAAAAGTTCCTGAGAAATTTCAAACTCAGGGGCCAGCAGGTGACATGGTAGTTGGAGTGCTTTACTCCAACTTGGTCGACCATGGTTTGAGTCCTGGACCTGACAGATTTCTCTCTCTCTCTCTCTCTCTCTCTTTCTCTCTCTCTCTCTATTTCTCTGTGGTGAGTGCATGTATTCTATAGCAAAGTTGAAGACTAATGATAATAAATAAAGTTAAATAAATACTTTTTAGAAAAAGAAATTTCAAACACAAACAGTATCGATGAAGGCTTACAATTATCCATTTGTATGAAATGTTTTGGAAAACCTTTAAATGTTCTTTTTAAAAAATATAATTGTTTAATATATTGAAAAAGTGAGAAGAAGGAAAATAATCACTTCTTAGTAGTTAGGATGTCATGGCCTGTTCTTTTAAAAATAGATACTGGTGAACAAGCTGAGGCACCAAAGAAAATGAAGCTAATAATGGTAGTAATAATCATAATGCATAGTGTATATATCACCCTTCGCTTTTTCAAGTATTTTAAACGAGCTATTTCATTTCACACTTTTATAGCCCCATTGATAAAGACATTATTATACCATTTTATTATCAGAGATTCAAGATCCAGTGAGTTTAAATTACAACACACACACACACACACACACA